GACTTCACACATCTCATTAAGTGTGATATATTTTTAATACAATTATTCCATTTGAAATTTTGATAGTCATTTGGACTTCTTCTACAATACAAGAAGCTTAGGGGCCTCAATAACTCACATGGTATTTTATTTTTAAAGTTAATTAATTTAAAACCTGTTGTATCCCATAACATTTTATCAAAGGAGTATGAGCAGTACAAGCTACAAGAAGGACTGTCACTTTGGGTGGGCAAGACACCAAGGGCATGAGTGCATTCTTCCTGTCCAGTAGTTTTGTATATGGTTATGGGGTGGGGATTTCATCTGTTTCCATGTTATGACCCAAGGAGTTAGTCCAAAAGGGTGGGTCTGGGCCTCCAGGCCAATCCTAGTAGCATGAATGGCTTTGCCTCTTCATGTCTAACAATTGGATTATTAGGTTCAAGGTGAGAACCCGACCGTTTCCAACTTATGACCTTATTTCCCCATCAAATCCCTTCATTGGTACAAAAGAAGGATTTTGACAATTTGTTTCTATTTCCCCTGTTGGCCCAACAGTCCAAAAGTCCCCTGCCCCCAGAGGCACACCCTCTATTTTTAAAGGAAACAAGTGGCCCAGAGGGCCTGTATGGCTCACCTGGATCTCTATGCCCTGCAATTGTATATATGGCTATGGGTTCAGGATCTCAACCATTTCAGAGTTATGACCCAGACATTAAATTCCTAAGACCCCACAAGAGTCATTACTAATATCAAAATTGTGTTCGTCTCTTGTTGCCCAGCAACAGTATATATGATTGTGGGGTGGGAATCTCAACCGTTTCAAAATTATGACCAAATAATTAACTCCCTAGTCCCAAAGGTCAATAATTTAATATAACTGTATTTATTTCTTTTTGCCTGTCAAATGCATATATGATTATGGGGTGGGGATCTCAACCATTTCAAAGTTATGGTCAAAAATTTAAGTCCCTCCATTGGTACAGAAGAAGAATTTAAAATGATTTACCTAAATTTCCCCTATTAGGGTGCCACCCCTCTGTCCCCGGGATCCCTCCCCTCCATTCATACATTAGGAGAAGGATTTTAAACATTTTCCCCTCTGTCTCCCTAATGGGCCCCGACCCTCTGCCCCCAGGGGAGCCACACCCTCAGTTTATACCAAAATGAATTTCCCCTTCGGCTGAGGATACTCCAGGTCAAATTTATTTAAAATCCACTATGTCGTTCAGGACTAGTAGCGTTGTAAAGGAAAAATTTAATGAACTGCAAAGCAGTTGATGATGAGTTTGTTTCAAGACCAACTCATTTCATCACCCCATGAAATTGACCTAAGTAAGATTAAAACCTTATATTTTAATCAATGTGTTTTTTCAATAATTGGAACTTGTGAAAGTCTGTATAGTTTGTCCCAGATTCTGGAGCTTGTGCAAGTCTACGTATTAACATAATGTAAAATAATATAGTTCATCATTGAAGGACCATCATACAACATGATGGTGTACGCTGATAGCTCAATACAGCCAAATTATGAAGAAACAAAACACAAATATATATGTGGCTTTGAGCCACATTCAGAGCTTAATATAATGTCCTAACGGAATAAATGTGACCATTATGCAAGAAGTACGCCAATACTACATCTTAATATTCCTGGCTGATCTATACAATGTGAACTTGTTGACAGATAAAACCATCCCGATGTGTTTGATATGTAGTCAAGGAAGAAACTGCTTGATGTGAAAGTCGGATGAATGGTACCATTAAGAGCATCATTTGCTTGTGTTGCTGTTTAACTGCTAATGAAGAGCAGCAGTTGTGTGTCAGCCTACAGCCTTGTACAAACCTCTCAGCACACACTCGCCACTTAACGCACTTTACCTACAGATACATTTGGTAGACAATCTTCATTTTATGCAAATTGACATTAAAACTTGATCTTCTTTATCATTAAATGAATGGCTTTTTACAATAAATTCTGTCTATGAAGATGATTACACTCAGCCCGTACCATCATGTTGGAGTAGGAAAGGTAATCTAGGATGTCCGCACGGTCTGCTGTTTTGTTTATCTCTTGTGTCTCCTGGTTTAGCGATGTCTGCATCCATAATGACGTATGGTAGTAGTCTCTGGTGGTGTAGGCTAGTCGGCCAATCGTGAAGCAGTCCTCCGCTGTAAAGCCAATACCTTGTTACTATGTCAAATGTGTGTTGAGGACAGCACCTCCTCATGCTGTAAGGACTACTAGGAGTCCCCTTCACTGAGGCGTGGATAGGAAGGCTTCATGGATTAGGTACTAATGCATCATGGGTAAATAGACAGACTTGTGTCACTCTACCAGAGGTAGCCCTGACTGTCTGTCACAGGTTTATACGCTATCAGGCCAGCAACAGTTAAAACTGCATCTCATGGTAAACATCAATACAGGCAGGCAAACTTGTAGCCAACAGTTAAAACTGCATCTCACGGTAAACATCAATACAGGCGGCAAACTTGTAGCCAACTGTTAAAACTGCATCTCAGGGGAAACATCTATACAGGCAGGCAAACTTGTAGCCAACTGTTAAAACTGCATCTCAGGGGAAACATCTATACAGGCAAGCAAACTTGTAGCCAACAGTTAAAACTGCATTTCAGGTTAACAACTATACAGGCAGGCAAACTTTGGGCTAATCTTCAACATGTTTCGACCCATGCAGTTATAACATGCAGTATCCAGACCCATTCCTTAAAATCTATAACCCTTCCTGAAACATCTTGGGGTTTTTTATTAGAGAAGACAATATTATTTTAGCCTTTACTAGAGAATACAATGTTACTTTACCCTTTACTAGAGAATACAATGCTACTTTACCCTTTACTAGAGAAGACAATGATACTTCACCCTTTACAAGAGAATACAATGATACTTTACCCTTTACTAGAGAATACAATGATACTTTACTCTTTACTAGAGAATACAATGATACTTTAGCCTTTATTAGAGAAGACAATGTTTGTTTACCCTTTACTAGAGAATACAATGTTTTTTTTACCCTTTACTAGAGAATACAATGATACTTTAGCCTTTACTAGAGACGACAATGTTATTTTACCCTTTACTAGAGAAGACAATGTTACTTTACCCTTTACTAGATAATACAATGTTACTTTACCCTTTACTAGATAATACAATGTTACTTTACCCTTTACTAGAGAATATAATGTTCTTTTACCCTTTACTAGAAAATACAATGCTACTTTAGCCTTTATTAGAGAATACAATGTTACTTTACCTTTTACTAGAGAATACGATGTTATTTTACTATGCCTAATATCTTCATTACACGATACCCACCTACACCTTTTGAAGTTTAAATGCTGTAAACAGTTGATTGTCAGACTTACTTTGTACACAGAAAAGGAGAGGTAGTCAAGGATGTCCTTACGATGGACAGTCTTGTTGATTTCCTTGTCTAGTTTACTGAGGGCCACCTCCATCCACAGCGATGTATGGTAATAGTCTAAGTCGTGATAGGCCACACGACCCAACTCAAAGCAGTCATCCGCTACAACCAATGCACCGATACCATGCAGTTAGTACAGAGGTCCACTATCAAGTGTGGACATAACTTGAATTATAACTAGACAGGAATGGCGGCATTCAGTGGGAGCTCCATTCTACTGTAATTACTTGTGTATTGCCCACAGCTATAGTCATTTACATTGCAGGCTATCTCAGGTGAACAAGGCAAAGAAACATCTTGGTTTTTTTTACTAGAGAAGACAATATTATTTTAGCCTTTACTAGAGAATACAATGTTACTTTACCCTTTACTAGAGAATACAATGATACTTTACCCTTTACTAGAGAAGACAATGATACTTTACCCTTTACTAGAGAATACAATGCTACTTTAACCTTTACTAGAGAAGACAATGATACTTCACCCTTTACAAGAGAATACAATGATACTTTAGCCTTTACTAGAGAATACAATGTTTTTTTTACCCTTTACTTGAGAATACAATGTTTTTTTTACCCTTTACTAGAGAAGAAAATGATACTTTACCCTTAACTAGAGAAGACAATGATACTTTAGCCTTTACTAGAGAATACAATGATACTTTAGCTTTTACTAGAGAAGACAATGTTTGTTTACCCTTTACTAGAGAATACAATGTTTTTTTTACCCTTTACTAGAGAAGACAATGTTATTTTACCCTTTACTAGAGAAGACAAAGGTACTTTACCCTTTACTAGAGAATACAATGTTACTTTACCCTTTACTAGTGACCTAGTGTGACCTTCATTTGAACAAACTTGGTAGCCCTTCATCCTGGCATGTTACTGGCACAATATCATTATCCTAGGCTTCTTAGTTATTCAGAAGAAGTTGTTTAAAGATTTGTTAAGACAATTGACCCCTGTGACCTTGAAAATGGACGAAGGTCATTCATTTGAAAAACTTGGTAGCCCTTAATAACAGCATGCTACTAGCCAAATATTGTAACCCTATGCCTCTTAGTTATTCAAAAGAAGTTGTTTAAAGGTTTTTAACATATTTGACCCCTGTG